ACTGCCGACAACCTCACTTTCCACTCTTTTGTTTGTCGTCAAAATGTTGAAATAACCAAAGCTGACATCGCCCAACACATTAGGCTATCTACTGAAGGGCGTATGGTTCGTTTTTTTATTACAAACGATTTTGACTGGAGCGACGTTAATCGAGTCCTTAGGAAAGCCGCATTCTATCAACATCAACCTCTCGTTTCATCACTAAATAGAAATGCACGCATAATTCAACATGTCATTCGTACCTCCATAATACCCAAAGGTGGTGACCGTGTCAACATGACCCCGACCCTATCTGTCACTACTTACCTTATCATGACCAACACAAAATTCGACGAGGCCGATCTGATTATTAACTACATTCGCCACATGACCTTCGTTCGTCTCCCTACCACTCGCCGAAAACAAAATATAGCTATTGGACACCTTATAGGATATATTCTCCAAAATAAATATCAATTGACCTATCCTGGTGAACCCGACAATCTTCCTATTTTTTATACGGATGCCTCTTTCCGTATTCTTTTTCATCGGGGACAAGATCCGGAAGAACCTGTTTTTGACGAAGAAGAAGGGGAAGATGCCCCGGCTGCAGCTCAAGCACGTCCACGACGACATGCACCACCCCGAGCACCTGCACCTGCTTACCCTCACGATGATCTGGTCGAACGCTTTGACCAACTTCAGACTCGTCTCGATACTCAAATTCAAGAACAACATCAGCAACACGAGACAGATATGCATTGGTTTGGAGAACGCTTTACTCCTATTGATCAACGCTTTGACACTCTCTTTCAGTACTTCCAACCAAACCCACCTCCACCACCTACTGATCAGGATCCTCCACTATAAATTATCTTTGTATTTGTAAGTTTGTTTTTTTTTTTTTTCTTTTTTTAGTGTTTGCTCCTCTTTTTGGTGCTGTCAAAGGGGAGATGATTGTTTGTAACTTTGTTTCTATGGAATGCATGTTTTTTTTTCTTTCATACTGCATCTTCTTTTATTTCTTTTCTCCATGTTCTTATGTTTAAATTAAACTTAAAAAAAATGTCTTTAACACTTACCTACAACAAATATTATTTGACATCATCAACAAAGAGGGAGAATTGTTGGAACAATGCCCCAAGTTTTAAGATTTTGATGATGATAAATAATGTCATTTGAATTGTCTATTCATTGAATATTATTTTATTTGCTATTGTCCGTGAGTACTAACATTTCAGGAAGATCAAAAGCTACTCAGGACGACAGGAAGACTCAAGAATGGGTAGATTAGGAGTATGAGTCTGCAATGTATTTTGTTGTTTATTTTTTTTTTTTCTCGAGTCTGGCCACAAAATGCAAAAAAGTCTGAGCAACCATGCACAGACACAGGGGGAGAGTATTTTTAAATTAAAAATTTAGAGTTTTTCTTTCTCTATAGATTGTACTGTACGATGTTATTTTGTACCGTACGATCAGATCTTTGTATGACGATTTCGTGAATAGATCATATTGTACGAATGTATTCGTACTATACGATATGTTCAAAGCCAAAACCCTAGCAGTTGTATTAACTTAAGTAAGTTATTTTCCACCGCTCGTACTGTACGAACATCTTTATACTGTAAGATTTATTTTAAATACTTACTTAATTTTAATCCGTGACTAGTGCAAGAAATTCGGGCTTAATTATAATTTGAACATCGTACTGTACGAACCAATTCGTACCATACGATGAATAGAGACAAATTATAATCGTCCCGAAGATCATCCCGGACGATCTCTTCGATTTTGTCTCATCGTACGGTACGATGTCAATCGTACCTTACGATGAACAGAGACGATGTTTGATCATCCCGACTATCGTCCTGTATGAACAGAATTGTTATGGATCGTACCATACAATTTATAATCGTACTGTACGAATATTTTTGAACTGTTTGTACCACTTCGTACCAGGACGAAGTTTGTTTATACATATCGTACTATACGATTAGAAGCCGTAATGTACAATAGGAACGGCTACTTTTGAAATCTTAAGGATTTTGGAGCCCGTTTTGAGGTGAAAAACTTATCATATTTTGAGGGTGTGAATTAGAGAGGAGAACGTGGTTAGAGAGGGATTCCGAGTGAGAGAGCTCTTGAGAAGTTCTTTAAGGTTTGAGAGAGGAAGGAGAAGGTGAGCGTTGTGAGGGAGAAGAGGTGTGAGGGAGATCACACGGTTGCTCCAAACTTGCTGCATCTTGCTCCTCCTGTGGCCCTAGAAGAATTTATGGGAGGATCTCTAAGGGGAAAGGCTCTTTTACATCCGTGACCTCGAGGTACTCTGCCTTCTCCAGGAGGGAGAAAAACGAGAAGGTTCTCTGCCATCGCCAGGAGGGTGAAAACAGAGTTTGACACTCTGCCACGCCGGGTTGGTGAAAGGGAGTATTGTAAGGGCTTCTCCGCCTTGCCAAGGGGGGCAAAAGGAGAGCTATTGCTTGTAGTGAAATACTCGGAGCGGAGGACTCCGGGGAGTGGACGTAGGTCATGGTTTGACTGAACCACTATAAAAATATCGGTGTGCTTTTTCTTTATTGTCTTTTATTACTGCGTGCATTTTTTTTTCAATATTTGCTTGCGAAAATTTGTGAAAAAAAATTGTTTAAATTTTCATGTTAAAATTTTAAAACATCAAAAATATTAGAACTCTTGCTTAGGTTTTAACTATTGTCAAAAAGTTTTCACAATTCACCCCCCTCTTGTCCATCTAGTAATTTCAAGGACGTATATACTTCATCCTAGATGATCAAGACTTAGAAAAATTTTTCTTCAGTTCCTGTTCGTTCCATTGCTCTTAAGAGGAGATAACTGACCTGATCGTCCTGTATGAAATAGGTTCGTCCCGTGCGATCAATACAAATTTTGTAAAGATCTCATTAAGTGCGTGTGTGTGTTTTTATTCACTCAATTACAATCACTCCCTCTCAATTCAAATAACAATTAAAGGCTTCAATTTATAAAGGATTGCATGCTGAATTTGATTTGAAGTCTTCGTAGTTTGGAGTTCGATTTTCCTGAAATTTTAGTACACACAAGAGCAAAAATAAATCTTCCAAAAAGTGTTAGGAGATAACTACACATAAAATAATAATATTTAGAATCATCAAAACTATACAAGTTGCAAGAATGTAAAACATGCAAATAGCAACTCTCTTAACATACACGATCTCTAGATAGTCTAGGATGATCAATTCAAATTTGTACAGATCATCCAATGTGATATTGGGGATCATCATGGATGAATAGAAGAAATATTATGATATTTCACATCGGAAGATCAATTATCGTCCTATGTACCTCTCGGGTCATTCAGCACTATCTTCACTAATCGTTCTGGATGATCGGATTGAACAAACTAATCATAATTAGTCCTCTAATTACATGATTAATTTAGGCATGATTGTCATAGATCGTCTAGTACAATGTACATCATTCTAGAAGATTAGGACAAAATATAAAAATCAAAACCTTGCCTAAATTATGATTGAGGGCTATTTTTCATTAGCATAACTGATCATCCTGGATGATCTAAATCGTCCAATACAATTAGTTAGAAGAGCTGATCATACAGTACGATTTGTTTAAAAATTGAACTTCTAGTTTTGACTAAATCTCACTCCCCAAGTATGTGTGTGTGTGTGTGCATGGTCATCAAGCAAACATACATCCTTAGAGGACTTAACTAAAAAAATAAAAAAATAAAAATCAATAAATATTACAAATATTGTTACAACATAACCTATTCTACCAAATCTTAAGCATTGAATATTCGTTTGATGGTGCATGGTATTCCTAAAAAGTTAGTACACACACAAACATAAATATATTACAAATACAAGTAGACAACAAGATGTGAGCCACAATATTTATTATCATAAAAAATATAAACTTGTGAGCTCGAGTTGCAATAGTGAAGTGGACATCAAGTTAACTTCTTTGGCTCACATCCACTTTGCACTTATAAGCAAGTATACTCATTCACTGCTTATTATATGGGCACCAATCCTATAATGTGCACTAACTGAGCAAGCACTAGTTCATTCACACCGCCTCCGCAGGGCCTTTCCATATCACCATCGCAGATCAGTGAGGATGAACTATTTTAACTTCTTTTTCTTTATAAGTCCATCCACTAGACCTCAAAAGTGGCAATACTCCTCTATATTGTGGCCGAGGTCTTTGTGGAAGGTGCAATACCTTGAGGTATCGTGGGTGTTGATAGTGGCAAGTGCTCTCTCTGAGAGCCTCTGGCGAGCTACTGAGTTAGAGAATCCCTCGAGCATGTTATTAGCTCACACTTGCTCTGGAAGGCTACTTAGGGCATCTTGAACTGTCTTTGTTAGTATTTCCTCCATTTCCTATTGGTCATGGTGAGTGGTAAATTTGGTGTTGTCCATATTCACATAAGGTTCTTACTAAACTCGCTCACCAAGCTAAGTATATCTTTTTGTCCATGCCATCAATCCACACTCACCACACAAAATAATACTCTTCAACCTTACCACTAGACACAATATGATGACACTCCAATTATTAAAAATCAAACAAGATTACCATCAAATATGCTGGCGGGACCGCGGGAGTGCGCATGTGCAAGCAGATGAGGGCGTGGGTGCGGCGTGCAGGGCAAGTACCGAGTGCATGGGTGCGGCCGTGCGGGACTGCACATTGTGCGCAAGTGAGGAGGACGCCTTGGAAGGACCACATGAGGTCGGAGAGGGTGCTGCAGTTGTGCATGCTGGTGCACACTGTGCATGGTGCGTTATGCCTGTGCTTGCAAGATTAGCGGATTCACGACTGAGAGCGCGACATGACTTGCGTTGCGGGGCAAGTTGGCGACTGGAAACAGGACTCAAGTGAATTCCGGATAAAATTTGAATTTCCAAGTTAACTCGATTCCGATTCAATTTTTAAAATGAGAGTCAAAAATGAAATTCAAAACCCACCTATTTGTTAAAGATCTACCCTAAATCCAAATTTTTGGAGCTAGATTTGGGTCTGATCGGGTCCCAAAATCTAACTAGCTTCCACGCGAATTTGGAGCGTTGCCTGTGTCCTGTCGGGAATAAGGATATCTCATTCGGAAAACTGCTCAGGTCAGTTCGCGGGGCATAGGAAGGTGCGTTGTATCGCCGGAGCTTACAAGCATGGCGGATCCTGAGGAACAAATTCTTCTTCTCGAGCGTTCTTCTAGGTTAACTAGAGGAAAGAGGTATGCATCTCTTAAAACCTCTTCTCTGACTTTACAGACGGCGAATGGTGAGGTGTAATTTGCGAACACGCAGCGAGGCGTTAAGAGGACATATGGATTGATTAATTGGATGCGTGCACTAGAGTTAATAAAGCATCTCAGATGTTGCATGTTGAATCGACTTCCGTTGGTGGCTTACATAAATTTGACTCGCTTGATAGAGATCCAGGGAATCTGGCTGATGCAGCTACGCTCATTTGTTGTGACACACGAATGCACAGGCTTGAGTGCCTAAATGAAGCTACTTAGTGGGGCTGCTAGGGATTATTATTGAGTAATCTAATTATGCTTCATCTCCCAAATCTGTCAGGGTACAAGGTCGGAGCATTATGCAAAATAATGAAGAAGAATCTTTAGTAGAATTGTCTTGTAGTAGGGAAGAGATGTGGAAATAATTTACTCAGTTGTTTAAGGCGCGAACCCTAATTATGGGTAACGATTGCCTCTATTAGCTTTATTGTAGCTCACCTCGTCTTGTGAAGGGGAATTTGTTTTTTGTTTTTAAATTTCTGTTCAAATGGCAATTCACACACACACACACAATATTATGTTGTGCTTGAATGACAAAAAATCCTATATTAAATGCACTTGAATATTTCTTTAATTCATATTGGGTTTTGTTGCATTTAAGCATCTTAGTATTGTTATTAGATATAGATCATGAATGAAACTCAAGATTGCTTGGCTATGAGTGGCAGACTAGCATTTTTGCCCTGACATCCTAAACATAAGTCATTAAACAATGTATTTTATATAATTTGCATTTGGTTAGGATAATCACCTAAACATGGATCATTTTTTTTTTCTTGCAAACACAAAGCAGGTGATATGTTGATTAATTTTATCCGTGCTGCTGTAATTTTTGACATGGTTGCATGCTTATGCCATTTTTTGTGAACCTTTGAAGGTGGGGAGGATGCGCATGTCTATGTACTCTTCCGGTCATAGGCGCTCAAAATGTTTATGTACTATTTTAATCTTTGCTAGGAATCATAGCAAGGTTTAAAATTGTGTAAATAAGCCTCGAGGCGGTTTTCGTCTGTGAGGCGAGGCGTAAGCAGAATTGCGTAAATGATAATTTAAGGATTTTAGCACGTAAATAATAGCAAGATTCTATCATACAATAAAAACATCTAAATGACAAGTGGAATTAGTGGAAATTAAGAAATCAGATGCAATAAAAGCATGTTCCAAAGTACAAAACCACAAAATTATAGTCTATCAGAGCTCCCAAAGTACAATTAAGAATGAACATATAAAATTCAATCATATCCCATCACTAAATTGGTCTTCAAGGGAATATTCTTCTGCAATTGTATATATGAATGTCATATCTTCATCATCTTTAATATGACTCACTTTTTTTTTCCCTGTTCAATAAGAATGATCATTAATTCATTATTATGTTAATTGCTCACTTGATATAAATATAATGCAATAGCATATAAGAAGTTGTGAAATACATTTACTTGATTGTTGTGCTGCAGACCTAGTGAATGTGTGTGGTGTGGTACTAGTTGATGTGCCCACTTGATCTGCTGCGCCTCTCAAGACATCCACACTTAGATCCTCTAGCTGTAAGTTTGATAATGGCAAATCTGTCTCATCATCTATGAACCACTCATTATCAGATGACATATCATCACACACCAACGGGTCCTCATCATCCTTCAACCCTTATCTTTTAACCTCTTGTTGTGCATAATATATACAAGAGAGTTCATTCTGAGTGTTGATAGCCGATTTCTTCTCTTTGTTTGCACTTAACTATATGTACTCCAGTTTCGCTCACACCCAAAAGAAGAACAAGTGAGGCCCAAAACTCTTACAACAAAACTCTGTAACTCAGGGGTGGAATCACCAAATTGGATCCACCATTCAACTGTTTTCAAAAAGAAAAATGATAATCATAACTTAATAAAGTGTCTTGCATTTACCAAAATAACTATACCTGGAGACCGTTTGACAATCGTTGATTTTGCTGCATGCAGACAAAAAAAATCCTCTTTATTCTGAAATAGAACAAGTTGTAAATCTGCAAGCTCCCTATTTGTCTGCTCTGGTATTTGTCGTTCCATGCAATGATACTGACTAAGCTTCACCTCTGTGTTTGAAGATTTCCTCTCTGAATATTGAAATTGAGGATTGAGATAATATGCCGCTGCATGTAGATGACGATGTAACTGTACCTCCCACCGAGCATCAATGATATCGCAAATCTCTCTATAACTTGCCTCCTCTTCTCTCAAGTTGTGTGCAATCAACTCCTTGGCCTCATTCATAGCATTATAAATAAAATCCATAGCTGGTTTCTTCTCGGCATCCACTAAACGTAGAACCTACACTAAGGGTCTTGTGCTCAATATGGCATATGTCACAGTAGCCCAAAATTTATCATTTAGAATTATTTTTCTTATTTCCTTCCAGTCACTTTTCTTCCCCCACGCAGAGTTAAGCCATTCTGTTGATGTAAACATTGCTTCCAGAGGTTATCTCACATCCAACAGGCTCTGCAGTGTCAAATAAGATGTGACAAACCTGTAGATTTGCAGTGCACAAATATAAGAACATACATTAGGAATTGATAATGATTTGCAGTGCACAAATGTAAGAACATACCTAGTAGTTGCAGGGCGAATGATTTCCTTCTTTGAAAACTTTCTCATCAAGGCTAAGACCCTAGAGGTTGTATCACCACTTTCTCACAAAAATTGCATTTTAAATACACATACGTCTTCTCGCCGCCTCCTATGTCAACTTGCACACTATATTTTCAAGAAGGGTCACGCCGCAATGACGTATTTGCCTTTTCCTTGCCTCTAACCATGTTTCATAATGCAAAAATTCAAAAACAAACAAAAAAATTCAAGAAATAAAAAATCCTAGATTTTTTTTTTTCACTTGAAAAATCTAACCCTAAACTAAACAAAAATACCTAAAATCGATTGTGGACTTCTCCTAGAGGGGGGCCAGACACTTCAAGTTTACCGGTGAGAGGCGACGTCGGCGGGAGAGTTGGCGGGAAGGGAGGCCGAGCTGCGGGAGGCGGTCACGTTCGTGAACAGAGGCCGCGGGAGATGTTTTTTTCGGGTTTAGCTGGAACCGAACAGGAGGAAGGGAAAAAAAGGCTTCGTTTTAAGTAGGTGGGACCGGATTGATAAGGCGTACGCCTCACCTCTAATTGCGCAATTGCGCCTTAGAGGCGCGCCTCTGCTAAGAGGAAAATTGCGCAAGCCTCGAAGCCTTGAGGCGTGCCTCTTATTGCGCAATTTTAAACAGAGAATCATAGGAGCACTATCTTAAAACATGTTTATGTTGAAGGAAATAATTATTTGTTGTAACTAGAGAATTGCTTGAGCTTAATAAAATGTTGTTTTGTTGTTTATTTCTTCATGTTAGTATGATCGAAGTGGCATACATGTAATCCATTTTTTTATGCAATGAGGATAGAAGTACCACTTTGAAACTTCCATCAGAATTTTTTCTCATATTTGAACTCGAAGTTAACTGCATATTTTTTACTCGTATCAGAGGGTCAACTATTAACTTCTTTCATTTCACTTTTTTTTGCCAGGATGACTAAATTACTAGATGAAGAGATAGAAGAGGATGAACGTTTTTGGAATCAAGATGCTCTTAAAGATGTATCGTTATGCAGTACTGTTGAATCAAGTTTATACTTCAATTTGATGAATCTCTCATTGATTTATCTTAATAATAGTCATTTGAATAGTTCATTAAATAAGGTTCATTTGAGGTTCTCTATGCAAATTTGACTTAATAAATGTTAATTGATATTTTATTTTTTAATTCTTCACTAATGAAATTGAAACCTGTGATTCTAGTTGATGCCTTTGTGTTCATCATTCATCTTGCTTATTATTCACTAAAGTTGTATGCTAGTTTGAGACGTTGAGTTAGTGATCACTGGAAATTATCTATTGTTATCTGCTTGCTATGAAGAATCTGTATTACTTAATGCTCACTTACTGTGATTTTTCTCTATAGGAAGAGAATGATGACAATTACAAAGAAGAGCAAGAAGTGCCTGATGAATTTGATAGTGATTTTGAGGAGGATGTGAGTATCCATGCCCATCAAATGCACTAAACTTATTTTCCTTGTGAGTTCCATTTTGCTAGTTAAATATATTTCCTATTATATATTTTACTAATTTCGTTATGAGCATTCATTTTTCTTACAACAGGAACCTGAGCAAGAAGATGAAGCTGAAAATCCTGCTGAAGATAGGTTCTCCCTTATTATGTGAAAATATGCCTGAATTGTTATTTTTGAGGTGGGTTTCTTTTACATGTCCTAACATACAAGTCTTTCCCTAGGCTTCCAGTTAAAAAGAGGTTGATATTCCCTGGAAAGCAAGTTGCCAAAAAGAAAAATAAGAAGAAGGTTCTTTCAAAGCTTGAGTACAGTTCTAAAATTGGGAACTTTCAAGAATCACATAAGCCTACACATGCTGAAAGTCAAGATGCTACAGATGAATTAGAGGGTGAAAGGACGGTGAGGAAGTCGACTAGAACTTCGGTCATTGTGAGGCAAGCAGAAAGAGATGCAATTCGTGCTGCATTGCAAGCAACAATGAAGGTTTGTATTCCATGCCGTGCTTGAAATCTTCATCAAACACTTATTTAAGAAAGATTATGGGTGTTTTCTAAGAGCTGCATTTCTAAGTTCTTGATGGTTGTTGCTTAGTTTCATTGATTGGCCTAATGATGTAATCTAACATATGATACTATCGTGATCTAGCTTATTTTTTCTTTTCCTCGCGAAACAAAATTTCTATTGATGTTTCTTGAAGCATGATGTATGCCATAGTGAGAGCACTCTTTATGATATAACCACGACAAGAAGCTAGCATTTATGAACATTGTAATAATTTGATAATTACTTTAAAATTTTGACTCAACATTATACCTTTTTGATGAATGCTTTAAATAATATTGTAATGTTGCTATTATGATCAACTAAATAGTATTATTGTTGGGATCATAAAAATTCGCACTTGAGTAATTTCAACTCAATGCACATATCTTACAACAATTCAAGATGATTGAACCAATGTTTAATTATCTCAAAAAATCAAAAATAGAAGTCAAATGAGATAAAAACACCATAAAAACATTGCCAGATAGTTCAACAACTAAAGGAAAATCATTTATTACCAGCGGATTTTCCAGCAAAAAATTGTTCAGTTTCCGGTTGATTTGGAAGTTTTCCAGCAAATTTCCGGCGGAATTTTTTGCGACGGTAAAACACGTGTCAAGAAAATTTCTCGGCACAAAAAATTATCCGAACAAATTTTCCAGCGGACTTTCTCCGTCAGAATAATTTAAAAAACATTAATAAAAATCCTACCCAGTTGATTGCCCCGTTGCCCCCCTGCCCAGGTGCTGCCCACCTACCCGACTGCCAGCCCCACTGCCCTGCTGCTCGGTTGACTCCCTTGCTGCTTGGCTCTGCCCAACCTATGTTGCACTGATACGCCTATTTATGAGGCATGCTGTATCAGACACGTGTCCGATACGGATACGCCTCCGATACGGCACAGATACGTGTCGGATACGGCTTTGCCATGTCCAATTAAAATATTATTTAAATTTAATCGGACACGCATATCTGATACGCGTGTCCTATTAAAAAAAAAAAAATAAACCCGCAATTTGCCCTATTCATTTCAGCTATTCGCTCGATATCCCTATTCATTTATGCGGCTTAAACATTTCGACGAGCTAGGTTTTTCATTTCTGCACAGGTGTTCGTCTTCTTCGTTATAGTCGAAGGAGTAGCTCGATGACGCAAGCATAGAAGCGGACAGGATCATCCTTCATCAACAAAGAGGCTCGAAGACGCGAGCATTAAAGCCGATAGAATCCTTCGTCGACGGAGCGACTCGACAACACGAACAGTGAAAGCGACGTGAGCATTGAAGGTTCGTTTTCTTCGTTCTTTGTTTTCTTAATCGTAGGCTCGGTACCGGAACTTGGTACCGCTCGGTACTCAGTAACGCTTAGTACTTGGTACTACTCGGTATTGCTCGGTGCCGCTCAGTACTGCTCGGTACTGCTCGGTACTCGTACTGCTCAGTACCGCTCGGTACCGAGCGATACTAGAACTTGGTACTGCTCGGTACATAGGGGTACCGAATGGTACCAAGTAGTATCGAGAAGGTCGAACCCCGCCAAGGGGCAGCGCCCCCTTGGACCCTCGGCATAGGCGCAACATATCTACACTTTTAATTAAAAATTTACATGTTTCAAATTCATGTGGATTAATTTGTATCGATCATTCGTAGGATAATGAGCTATAGTGGTGTAGGAATTGGGTCTAATGATGGTCCATCAAAGACCAATATTGAAGATAATAAACCTCTGTAGCGTTATGTGACAAAAATAGGTAAAACATCAGAAGGGGGTTGCAATATTGCATTCAAATGCAATTTTTATAATGCTGCATACAAAGGATCATATTATAGAGTGAAAGCTCGTTTGTTGAAGATTAGTGGTCATGGAATTAAAGTATGTCTGAATATAAGCTCATCACAAATGGCTGAATTACAAAAATAATCAGTGAAGCTAAGCAAAGGAGTAAAAAAGAGCTTTCAAAATATATTCTACTTCCAAGCACTTATGCTTCATATCCTTTATCATCTTCTTCAATTAGAAGTGATGACAGTACTGTTAATAAGGGGCCTTTTCAGATGGAGGGATTTGAACCAAAAAGAAGAAAACATGTTGTAGATAGTGCTTTGGAGAAAGCATTAATTTACAAATGAGAGAACAACTAGATGGGAAAATAGCTAGAATGTTTTACTCAACTGACTTCCTTTTAACCTAGCAAGGAATCCACATTACAAGAATGCCTTTACCTATGCATGCAATAATAATCTTGTAGGATACGTGCCACTAGGATATAATGTCATTAGAACGAAGTTGTTGCAAAGAGAGAGGGATAATATTGAGAAGTTGCTCGAGCCTACTAGAGGAGTTTGGAAGGAAAAAAATGAGTTACTTTGGTTTGTGATGGGTGGACAGATCCACAAAGAAGACAACTTATCAACTTCATGGCTGTAACAGAGAGCTATCTTATGTTTATCAAAGCTGTAAACTGTGAAGGACAGTACAAGGATAAGTTTTTCATTTCTAATTTAATCAAAGAAGTTATCATGATGGTGGTGCCTTCAAACATCATCCAGGTCATTATTGATAATGCATCTTTTTGTAGAGCTGCTGGTCTAGTTGTAGAGAAAGCCTATCCTCATATTTTTTAGACACCATGTATTGTGCATACGCTTAATCTTGCCTTGAAGAACATTTGTGCAGCTAAGAATACCTAGGCAAACAAAATCACCTACAATGAATGTTATTGCATCACAATGATTGTTGGAGATGTAGTTGTAATTAGGAATTTTATTATAAATCAATTCATGAGACTCTATGTTCAATGATTTCTCTAATTTGAAGATGCTTGCAGTTGCTGAAACTCGGTTTGCCTCAGTTATAGTGATGTTGAGAAGATTCAAAAAAATAAAAAATACTCTTCAAGTTATGGTGATCAGTGACAAATGATCCTATTATAGGGAAGATTATGTTGGAAATACTTGATATGTAAATGAGAAGCTTTTAGATGATTTATGGTGGGATGAGATTGAATACATCATAAATTTCACATATCCAATTTATGAAATGTTGAGAGCAGCTGATACGGATAAGTCTTGTTTACATCTCATTTATGAAATATGGGATTCAATGCTTGCCAAAATAAAAGAAATTATATATATACATGAGAGGAAGACAATTCATGAAGACTCAAGCTTCTGAGATGTTATTTATGCTATTCTAGAAGAAAGGTGGAGCAAAAGTAATACACCTTTATATTACTTGGCTCACTCACTAAATCCCAGGTAAATTTTAACATTTTTCATTATTAATTCATAATTTGTTGTTTAGTAATTTCAACATTTTTTCATTATTTCATTTTAATATTTTTTGAAGATATTCAATTAAAGAATGGCTTTAAGAGGATCCTCAAAGAGTTTCTCCATAGAAAGATTTAGAAATTTCAAATATGAAGAAGACATGTTTGAAGCATTTTTTTTTCAAATGAGAGAAGAAGTGTTAATATTTAGTTTGTTAAATTTTTTGGTTATTTAGAGGACTTTGGTGACCAAGAGTCATTGCGTGATAGGTGGAGAATTAATCCAAAAATGTGGTGGATTATACATAGAGCTTCAACACCTCTACTTCAAACAATCACCATAAAATTATTTGGCCAAGTTTCATCCTCATCTTGTTGTGAAAGATTTTGGAGCACATACTCGTTTATCCAATCAATGAAGAGAAATAAAATTACTCCACAACGCGCTAAAGATTTAGTTTATGTGCATACAAACCTTCGGCTTTTCTCAAGGAAAACTCTAACTTATATGGAAGGAGACAACAGGATGTGGGATGTTGCTGGAGATAGATGTGAATCTCTTGAGGATATGAGAATATTAGAAATTGCTAATCTTTCACTTGATGAGTCTGAATTGGAAGCTATGATATTTATTGAACATGATATAGAAATTCAAAGACAAACCACTGAAAGAAGCTAATCCTATCATTCATTCTATTGAATAGTTGAAATTTCATGTGCTGGACAATTTATATTTTTGTTTTTGTTGTTGTACTAGACATTTAAATATTTAATGCTTACTTTTATTTTGATATTATAAGATACAATGCTACAAATGATGTTGCTTTCAATTTTCTTTGTCATTTTAGATATTACGCTTTGATTATTTTCTTAATTTTTATGTATGATTTATATATTATAATGCCGTATTCGCGCCGTATCCGTATCTTGTATTTTTAAGAATTGACGTGTCCCGTATTCGTATCATGTCATATCCGTGTCGCCGTATTTGTATCATTGCAACATAGGCCTACCTGCCCGCACTGCCCGATTGCATGCCCTGCTGCCCGCCCGCGCACGTGACCGCCGTGGGATCCGAACTCAAGTTCCTCCCTCCTGCGCGTGACAACCATTATGCTGCAATGTAAAATGCGTTAAATTTTCTATTGCATTATACTTAAACTATATAAATACATAATTATAATAATTCAAAATTTATTATAATAAATTATAATATTTTGAATTAATTAAAATAAAATATAAAATTTAATAATGAATTAAAATAAGTTATTAAATTAATAATTAATTAAAATAAATTATTTAATTACTAATTAATTAAAATAAATTATAAAATTGAAAATTAATTAAAATAAAACATTAAAATGATTTGCTTAAAATCCGCCATAAAACCCGATGAAAATATTTCATTTGATCCGTTAGAAATACATCCGAAATTCTGACGGAAAAAATTCCGCTGGAAAAATCTGTCGGTAATGGCGATTTTCCTTTAGTGAACTCATCGAGATAAATCCATCAACACTTTGTCGCGTGATTAGGGTACAATTATTACGTCCTCTGACCGGACGTAGAGCTACGTTCGGCCGCCAATAATATGTCGCCACGTGCTCTTGCTCTTTACCACGCGGCCCGACGACTTGACCCGGTCCGGAACCCGGGAATGCTATGTTCGCGTATTGCTAGGTAAAAATTCGGTACAACTTGATATTGCTCGGTATTGCTAGGTATTGCTTGGCAATAATGAGAAATACCGCTCTATGAAGACCAATACCGAGTTGTACCGAGTTTTTTAGAAAAACTCGGTACAACTCGGTACAAATCGGTATTTCTCGGTATTTGCTCGGTATTTGCTCGGTATTGCTCGGTATTGATTATTGCCGAGCAAAATCGACAAATACCTAGCAATACCGAGCAATACCTAGCTAAAATCGAGAAATACCGAGCAATCTTGGGTCCGTTCCGGGTCAGGTTGTCGGGGCACACGGTAAATAGTGAGAACGCGTGGTGCGATTTTTCCGGCGGCCAAACGTAGAGCTATGTCCTGTGACCGGACCAAATAAAAGTTCGTGATTAGGAGCCCGAATGGAGCCATATGATTTGAACCAAGTTGGATAGGCATGAACCAAGTTGGATAGGCCTTCTTCATGCATGTTATGTGAACATATATAAAGAAGAGGGATGCTGCCCATCAGGTTGCCTAGGGCTTTTGGAATTGGACCCATGGGTCGTTATTGTTAAGAGTAACTTGCTAAGCTATCCGATTGCGCACCGTCTCACTCAATGCTGTGTAGGTTGCATAGGGCTTTCTATCTCATTGAAAATCTACATCCTGACCATGCTTGGGTTGTAGTCTTCATTGTATCCAAACCTTCACTACAACATTGCTTGTGCCACATTCGTCCCCTTAAAGACCCATGTCATCAACCCACTTACACACCAATTGTTCGTCATTTCCAAACCTACACCGTAATGCTACTTTGGTCACAACTATCTACCTATGGATCTATGTCATAATCTTACTTTAGCTGCAACTATCACCTTTTAAGACCTATGCTACTACCTTGCTTGCATTGTAGAAATATATCTTTTGAACTCCATCTTAACTTTATTTGCATCATAACTATCTCCTTTATGACTTGCGTTGCAACCATTTCTTCTGTGCTTACATTGCTACCTTGCTTTGTAGCTGCAATGCCTCTAGTGTAGTGCCACAAGTTTTCTTGTGCTACAATCTCTCTCATGATCTATATCACAACTTTTCTTGTGCCATAGTTGTTGTTGCCTCCAGACCCATGCTGCAACTTCACTAACATCATAACTATCTCCTCCACAGCCTGGATCACAAACTTGCTTGTGCCTCAATCAACTCTTTTTAGACTTATATCACAACCTCCCTTGTGTGGCCGCATCTCCTTCAAGACCAACACAACAACCATGCTTGTGTTAGTCTTTCTGCTTAAAAAAATGTGCCTAAATCTTGCTTACAATGCATCCGTCACTTTTAAGACATACATTGCATCCCTGTTTGCACTATAGTTGTTATTGCATTTAGACCTATGCCATGAATTTAATTGCGTGCAATCGTTTTACTCAATACATATGTCATAATTTTTGTCATAATTTTGCCAACGCAATAAAAGCCGTTGACTCAAGGCTTGAGCCGAAATCTTACTTTCATTGCATTCGTCTCTTTCATTGCTCTTGCTACAACCTTGGTTTCATCGTGTAGTCATCTCAATGAATGTGACAATCCTGTGCCACAATTGTCTTCCTCAACTTCTACACAACAAATCCACTTTTTCCATAATCCTTGCCTCATCAAGTGCTACGCCACAATCTTGCTTGTGCGGCCGTCTTTTTTTTTTATCATTATGTCATAATTTCTCGTGTTGTAGTCACTAACACCTCTACATTTATGTTGCAACTTCATCGGCGATGCAGTTGTTTCTTTCGAGGCCTATGTTGCAACTCCGCTTATTTTATAGTAGGTTTTGTACCAAGATCTGTGACGTAACTTCACTTGTGCCGCAAACATCTCTTTGAATTCATTATAATTGGCATGTTATGCTTTTAATATGCAATTGAATTAATCTATTATTTAATTTAAATTTCTTTTTTAATGTAATTGTTATTCTCTTACTTTGATGGTTTCCTCTTTGCAGCCAATAAAGAGGAAAAAGGAGGGCGACGAAAAGCGAATGACTCAAGAAGAAATGCTGCTAGAGGCTGCCCAAACAGGTATTTGTTACTAATACGAAGGGAGATTATTATTTGAAGTTCTAAATAATGAATAAATAATAAATTTTCTAGAGATTATGAACTTGAGAAATTTGGAGCGTGTTTTGGCAAGGGAAGAAGAAGTGAAGAAAAGGGCTGTTGTTAATAAAGCAGAATGTGAGGGTCCTCAGATAAGATTTACTTCAAGAAATGGTATTATATTCTTTCAATTTGTTTTTCTTTCAGAATTGGCCGAAGTTTGTACTAAATGTTTGACACGGCACTACTTCCTTTGTAGCCATATTTGCTCTTTTTGGCTACTTGCAGTTCTTGTATTACTTATTAGAGTTTGGGAATTTTAAACTTTTTAGTAGGGTTTAATTTTAATTTTGTCTTGTAAAATGAACATTCAGGCAAATCGTTATTAGACTTCATGAAGGGTTCATCATTTAAATCAGAACTTCATACAGCTTCAGCTCCCTGTAAGTGTATGCTATCCCTTTCTGTGACATAACTTTAATGCATGTGTAGAGATGTAGAGACATTTTCCTCTTACTCTTTTGTTCTCATCTTGTCTTTCCTATCTAACATACTTTGAATAGTTGAGATAAGACTAATGATAATGATGATTTAATAATACTTTGTTTTGCACAAGTTCTCAATGTGCCTCATATCTGTACCGCATCTAGAGATGTTCCAGTCTATGTTGGCAACATTTGATGTACTCTTGTCTATGTAGATTCAAATATATCATATTAAGATGCATAAGGAACTCTGCCTTATTAAGACGTATACTTGATTCAAATATGTGCTTGTGTTAGTTCCCATGTTTCTTATATTTGTTTACTAATGAAATGACATTTTCAGCAGATTCTGGGAAATCTCTTTGCGTTGTTACTGGATTGCCCGCCAAGTATGTTCTTCTTGACTTAGAATGCATAATAATTACGCATATCCTTTGATTCCATCTTATAAGAACCTATTTGTTGGAAACAACTCCTGCTCTTTTCAGTTATAGGTGCATTTGTTTGACGGTCCCTTATTATGTCTCATGAATAAGTTTTTTCTACAGTATATGGTTTTAGGTGACCTGATATCCAGCCTTGAGGCTATGGTAATGAAATGGTATATGACTTAATGCACCGATGTATGTGTTTGGTGACCTGATATCCAAGAGGCTATGGTAATGATGACACTGATACTCCAAATTCACATTTTTAGCCTATTTTGTGTGTGCGTCCTTGTGAGTGTGTTTATGCATGCATGAATGAATAAAGCTGAGACCTTAATGCCCAGTTTTGAGCTATGTCTATAGAAGATTCATTGTTTAGCAAGATTATGTACAAGATAAGAAGGGAGCAAAAAAAAAAAAAAAGTGCAAAGAAAGGGATACCATTCTGGAATCTTAGTTTATGACATGTCAAGGAATTAATCTCTTTTTATTGGATGCTTTTGCATTGCAAAGTTACATTTTAGTTAAACCCAACAAATACCGAATAGAAGTAGTATTAATCCAAAAGTTGAGAAAATTCGGCTAGTTTTTTAAAAGGAGCATTATCAAAATTTAATTTAGTAGGAGGGTAATTAAATTTTTTTAGCAAAAGAGCAAACACGGAAAATTATTTTACGTATTGTGAATACGGACAATATTTTTACCTATTCAATTATTTTATATGATTTTTAACTTTTTTAATCTGATTTTTAATATATAATTTTTGAAATTGTTATAAGATATAATACCTATATATTTATATGTTGCGGGCTAGAATATACATGACTGTAGAGTCATAATTTTATGTTTCAGCATTGAACGAATATTCGGCACACAAATAGAGAACATAAGATTTTTTGCGTGAAAACCCTGAAAAGGGGAAAATTCACGGGGTCATGCCCTGTTGAAATAATTCCATTAGTTTTTGAGCATATTACAAATGACTGAATCGTCTTTGAAGGGGATCAGATTGCAATAAGCAACCATTTGGTTGAAATCTAGTTACAAACGGAGGTCAAACACTGCTTCAGCGATGTTTGGTCGGGCGGAAGTTCGATGTTAGTTGGTGGTTCGGCGGAAGTCCGGTGTCAGACGATGGTCCGGCGAAAGTCCAGATGTCAGTTGGTGGTGCGACGGAAGTCTAGACATCTGTTGGTGGTCCCGTGGAAGTCCCGTGTCAGGAGGTGGTCCAGTGGAAGTCCGTGCGTTAGTTGGTGGTCCGGCGGAAGTCTAGCGTTAGGCGGTGGTCTGGCAGAAGTCTGGGCATTAGGCGGTGGTCCGGTGGAAGTTCGGCGTTAGGCGGTGGTTCGACAGAAGTTCAGTGCAGTTGTTCAACAGAAGTCCGGGCGTAAGTTTGTGGTATGACCAAAGTCCGGTGTTAGGCGGTGGTCCGACGGAAGTTCGGCGGAAGTCCGAGCGGTGGTCGAGAGGGAGCTAAATGGCAAGAGCGAACTCTGATATCTCTTTTTGCTTCTTTGCTTGGTGTCCTCTTCCATGAGAAATGAGAGGTCTATTTATAAATTTCCTAGAGTAGTATGGCTAGTAAATAGGAAGAAGATCAAGGGTAAGTTGAGAGTGGTTTGCATGGACGGCCGATGTTGATTCCCTTGATGGTGCACAGTTCACTCGACATTTGAACATATTAGTGATTTCAAAATTCAGTGATCTTTGGCGTTGGATTCGTCTCGTCGAACCGCTCGATTCGATTATAAGCATGTCACGTTTGGAAACCATTTGATAATCCAAATTGTGGTTTGAACCGTCCAACAATGCTTTGGGTCACTAATTCGGAACCATTTGGGCTATGATTGAGTCAGATTTGGTATCGTTGGATTCATATTTGTGAGACTTTCAGTTTGATTGTAAGTTTGTTGAAATCAGAGTTTGGATGGTCCCAATCTTAATTTCGGAAGTTTCCAACTTGATTTTTCCTTGAGATTCATGTCCGATCATGGTAATTTTTTGATGATATATCAATTTTCCATCTATTTTCGGATGTCGAAGTTCCAGATGTCCGAAGATACGCACTATAGCTCATGGAAAATTTTTGACGTGATTTGAAATTCTAAAATAATCCAATCTTGGGTGTACAGGTCCCGAATAGCCAGAACTTCACCAAAAATTTCCCATTATACCAATTGTTTGATTATTCTAATTCGGATAAAAGATCAATAATTTCATAATCGAAACCACGATAATAATTGATATATCTCATTTGATCGAACATGCCTTCCTCCTCCAGGATACCTGACAGTTTACGAGACAAGTGTATGAGCGGGGCTATGATTTCCACCTCCTATGGAGCTGATCAGTATTTCAAACATGCCTTCCTCCTCCAGGATACCTGACAGTTTACGAGACAAGTGTATGAGCGGGGCTATGATTTCCACCTCCTATGGAGCTGATCAGTATTTCAGCAATGTTTGGAGTTAGTCTTTCCTAATTTTCGTGTAGAGCCATGTTAGTGGTGGTGGGACTAATTGCCTTCTTTAGAAATCGAGGGGTTGTTCTGACACTTGAATGCCTTTCATGGATGGGCTGTTTTACTTGTGATGCGCAGGGATGTATAACATTCAGATCCAAATGGTTGGACATTTGTACCAGAGATCCGTCGAAGAGTTGGACCAGTGCATTTTTTTGTGAGAAATGACCAAGGTCATATAGAGAAATGGGAGAAGATGAAGGATCTGTCCGTCCCTTTATACGTTGGAGAAGAAGAAATAATGAAGATTCTCAACATTCCTAGCGTTAAACATCTTCTATATGAGGTTCTCTACTTGAACAAATATATAGAAAAATTTCTATTTAAGGTTGGGTTGTCCATTCAAACTGGGAGGTCTAACGCAATAATCTGAAGAAGTCAACCAGAGTTTAAGAGCCACCTGCCCCAACTTCAAAGGTTGCTCCTAAGTGACAGGAGAAGGGCGATGATCCTTAGATTATATCAAAGAGGAAGAAATTGGAGGAGACTTTAATGAGCACCAGTAAAGTTCCCCCCAACTCCTCTCCTGCCATGTTGCATATTCCAGAGGATGTATTGAACCACCTGTGCGTCGGTTATCACAAAACCAACAAATAGATTGACTCCACATTGACCTGGTAGATATATAAGCGAGATCAACCAGCTTTTGAAGGATCAACAAATCTCTGGAGAGAAGATAGTGGCCCTTGAAGCTGAAAATAAGGGATTTCAAAATTTTGTAGCCGAGAAAGAAGCTGCTATTTCTAGGGCCGAATCTGGACCAGGATCTCTGAGAGTCATCGAAGAATTTAAGAAGTCCATAGCCTTCAATACTATTATCCAGGATCGCATTCAGGAGGCTTACGATCACATATATGATGAGGAAGTGAAGGCTTTTGAGTAGCAGTGCATTGGTGAAGGCTTCATTCGAGGCTTTTTGAAGGGAATTCACCTGGTACAGCATAAGACCGGATTTGAGGTTGAAGGTTTAAGACCTAGTCAGGCTTCTGATGACTCCCCTTCTGATTCATATGAAGTTGATATTGAAAGCGAGCTGAGTAAGATATTTTCTAGTGATGATGAAAATGTAGGTTGTGTATTGTTTATTTTTCATTTGTTGTATCACTTTATCTTCTTAGTGATTATTATATGTGTTAGATGTTTATGTTGATATGTGTGATACTTTTATGATATAAAAAAGAGTTGTTGATGGTTTCTATTTTATTTCAAGTTGGATGATGAAAAATATTTCGATGATTTCACTCAACCTAAGTGAATTTGATTGATGTCTATCTAAGGCGTTTGACCTATCCAAAGTTGTTAAGCAGAGCATTGTTTGATGCTTATTAGCCTATGTGGAAAAGGTCGGATTGAATTCCCCTGGGATTGATCATCCAATGATTAAGATGCAATAAATATTTCATATTTCTCGAATCAAAGATTTCAAGATTTAATTGACACCCACCTAGGATATTCGGGGTCTCATGCATCTTAATGCTCATTTCATCCCACCCTGACACCCATACACAGCGGTGAAAGTAACTTCAGCTTTCATCAAAGAGGTGGTTAGATTACATGGAGTACTAGAGGCGATAATTTTAGATAAAGATAATGTGTTCCTCAGCTATTTTTGGAGGGAGTTTTTTAGATTGTAGGGGATAGTTCTGAAGAGGAGCACCACTTACCACCCACAGACAAATGACCAAACAAAAGTGGTCAATAGGAGCTTGGAGACCTACCTTAGATGCTTTGTGTCGGAGTCACCCAGTCTTTAGGTCAAGTGGCTATCATGGGCTGAGTACTGGTACAACACCTCTTATAATTCTGCTTCTCAGATGACCTCATTCAAGGTATTGTATTGAAGAGATCTACCTCACTTGGTGCATTTTGAGAGTAGGAGTACTCCAGTTTCTTCAATTAAAGAGTACTTGGAGGAGAGGGACAAAGTGTTTAAAGAGTTAAAGAGGCATCTGCTGAGAATACAACAGATTATGAAGAAACAAGCTGATGGACATCGGAAGGATGTCCAGTATGACATGGGGGAAAGGGTGTTCGTGAAGCTCCAATCATACAGGTAGAAGATAGTCGCCAATAGGAGGAATAGGAAGCTTGCCCCAAAGTACTTTGGACCTTATGAGGTATTGGAGAAAATTGGAGCGGCAGCATCTGCCTGAAATTACCACCATCGGCGATTATACATCCGATTTTTTCATGTATCCCAATTGAGAAGGGCATTGGAGAGTATACAACAAGCCCGATTTTGGGGTTATGATTAAGCCTCTTAATAAGTTTCTTATGTTGTTTACTCAGTTACTTAGTATTTGATTTATTATTATTCAATATCAGGGGTGTTTTTGATTAGAAGTGTAATTAATTATGACAGGGTTCAATAAATTATAGATTGAGTTTTAGGAGTATTTTATTTTAAAATGTTTTAGTTTAGGTTTGTTTAGAGGGTGAT